TTGCAGGTGGAAGTGGTAGTGGTTCTGGAAGCTTTGGCGTCAGAGAGACCTGGGATGGAATCTCGGCTCTCAAACATGTTATGTTTCTGAAGGTCTTTAATATTACTCATCTTTACCTTCCTTATCTGTAAAATAGGAAAAATAATGTCTAGTACACATTCTTGTTATAAATATTAAATGATATAAAGTAGTTTTTGCTTTGTTTTTAGCCACAGAAAGTGTACACCAAGCTGGTATGACCGCCTGACCTGTCAACTCTCCATGTGCTGGGTCCCCAGGAAGGTGAAGGATTTGTGGTCTTGTTTGCCCTGTGCTGAGGATGTGCAGAATTTCCTCTCTGATTACAGAATTCAAGATGGGGCATCAGATGTTCATTTTATCTACACCAGAGAAGCCAGATGGCATGGCGAGGCTTCTGTTGAACTCTACTCAGAAGATCATATCAAATGGCCCTGAAAAAAGAGAGAGAAACCACAGCACACGGATATATTCAAGTATGCAGGTCGCATAGTACTAAAGTGGATTGGGTGTTGAAGCACAGCACAGTCAGAACAGCACAAGTTGATATCACTAGTTTCATAGTTTTTTCAGTCTAACATTGTACAGGTAACCAAGGAACAATGAGCAGCTGTTATTACAGAAGTGGAAGCTGTGTAACCAGTTTGCATCATGAGCTTATGAGATGAGTATTTTCAAAAAATTCCTGTTCAGTATTTTGTAATGCAAAGTTTCCTCTTGCATTCTGACCTTACTTCAACTTATATATTTATATTGTGGTGGTGTACCTCAGAAGGAGCCCTAGTGTCACAATGGTTAAGTGCTCAGCTGCTAACCAAAAGGTCGGTGGTTAGAACCCACTAGTGGCTTCAAAGGAGAGAAGACCTGATTATCTGCTCCTGTAAAGATTATGGGAAACCCTATGGGGCAGTTGTCATCTGTGACAAAGGGTTGCTATGAGTCAGAATTGACTCGACAGCACACACACACAAAAAGCGTACCTCAGCAGAAATGTAGCTATGTTAATATAATTTCATTTATGTTAAGTACAGCTTTTATGCCATGTTATAGCGAACATATTTGAGAGGTTTTTTTTAATATCTCCTTTTGTTTTTATTTTTTA